CTTCAACGGTGTTGTGGCTAACAAAGGAGAGTGAAGTGGTTGAGTGAGTTGAAGACTTCAGTTATGTGAGAATTTGTATGAGCCGTGGTGTGTAGGTCAGTGGCCGATGAAATCTGTGGATGGATACAAGAGGCTGGATTGGCTTTTGTCAATTCAGGCGATGTGTGGCAGCCCAGTTTGTTCTACTGCATGGCTGTGAAGTATAGGTATTAAAGGTAGAAGACATGAGAAGAGAATACCTGATGTGTTTGACCAGCATTGTTTTGGTAACATGGGGTAGGGTAGGGGTGTTTAGTGGTGTCATCATGTGAGTAACGCAGAAGTCGGACGTAGAGTTTTTAAGGGAGAGAGGCGTGAGATAGTTGATGGGGTTGTGAACGTTCATTATATGAGATGGGTAGGTGGGACATGTGTTACGTGTGACTGGTCACTCTCTTCCTCGTCTCACAATGTTGACCGAAGTAGGTTGAGTGTGGAAAGAGGCTGTGTGTGTGTGTGTGTGTGTGTGTGTGTGTGTGTGTGGCCAGACTAAAACATAGGATGAATGTATGAAGTCGTTGACTGTTGGTGTAAGCCATGTGATGGTGATGGTGGTGGGAGGGGGGGGGAATGCAGACTGACCGGTTGGGGTGGGATGCGTGAGACGAAAGAAGGCAGTGGTTTGAAACTTAAGTTATTGGTGTGGCTGACAATCGATGTGAGTAGTGCAGATGTATGCGTATATTGTCGTCATCTTAACCGCTACACTTAATCTCATCATTTTCTCGCCCAATTTTCTCTTCTCTACTACTTTCTGCTGATGTTGACCGATTTTTTCTCTCTTTTTTCACCTTTCATCTTATTGCATTGTTACTTGGTGTTTTGATGTGAGGTATGGCAACTTGGACCGTTACACAATATAATGCCTATTCTCCTGTGTTGATCCTGATCCTGATGATGTTCACTTCCTCATATTTCGCCATATATTAATGTTACGAAAGAGAATCACAGGCGATATCATCACTTACTGAACAACACTGAAAAGGGCACATTTCATTTATATTTCATGTGCTCTGAGGATAACTGAGGTAGTTTTATCCGCAGTATAACCTAGTTTCAGGTAAAAATTGGTCACATACAGCATTTTCAGTGTACAAATATTGGACGCCTTTTTGATCCAATTCTTAGTTTCGAATCTTTACTTGACTCTAAGAGCTCAAACTAAGCTGCGGTTTTAATCGGTTCACTAACTTTCGCTCGTTATTGATTCAACTGCTGTTCTTATACAAAAGATATTCTTCTGATACATTTCACTTCTTTTGGAAAATCATTACATTCCTTAGTTTTCTTAATAAACGTGCAGTAACTTCGCATCATCATAGAATAGAGTATAGAATGACAGTGGACTCTCTGCCTCAACTTCATCGACTTTGAGAAGGCCTTTGACAGCGTCGACCTAGAGGTAATTTGAAAGCTGCTTCAATACTACGGAATACCGCAAACCTTTATCAGCCTCATTCAACAACTATATGAAGATACCACATGACAAGTAATTCACAATGGGAAGCTCAGTGATGCTTTTGAAGTGAAGGCAGGAGTGAAACAAGGTTACCTACTATCACCCATGATATTTCTGATTGTGGTCGACTGGATCATGCAATAAACCGTGAGGAGCAAGAAGAGGGGTATACGCTGGACCGCGGAAAACAACCTAGAAGATTTAGATTTCGCCGATGACTTGTGTCTGATGTCACACAAACTTGAAGATCTGTAGGCGAAAACTAACAAGTTGTCAGAAGAGGCAGCGAGGGGAGACGGGACTTCAGGTGAATATGGAGAAGACAGAGGTGATGAAGATACTCAACCAACAACACCAACAACAAACTCCAATCACTATCAACTGGAGAATCTTAAAGGAAGTAGCCTCTTTCACCTATATAGGAAGCACTGTTTCAACTACAGGCAACACACAGTTAAGAACGTCAAAGCCGGCCAGAATCGGGAAAACAGCATGACAGGCCTTGGTGTATTAGCCTGAAACCAGTGTGGAGATCTACTGCACTCAACAGGTGGAACAATATCCGGATTTTCAACACCAATGTGAGTCAAGTCAGTGCTTCTATATGGTTCAGAAACTTGGCACGTTACGAAAGGGATTTTCAACAAACTACAGACATTCACCAACAACTGCCTACGGTCGCTACTGAAGATCAGATGGCCAAAAAGAATAAGCAACAAGGAACTGTGGGAACGAACCAACCAAGAACCTATCACGCAACAAATATGCAGGAAGAAGTGGAGATGGATTGGGCATACACTGAGAAGGTCGACTGGGGACATCACGCGCCAGGCCAGGCCCTCTAGTGGAACCCCGATGGGAAGTGACGATTTGGGCGTCTGAAGTGAGGGTGACATGGAGGAGATCGTGTGAGGAAGAAATGAGAGGTTGTGGGCTGTCGTGGAGCCAGGTTCAAAATATTTTAGAGGAGAGAGTGGAATGGTGACGTGCTACTGAAGCCCTATGTTCCACTAGGAACCCAAGGGACAAATATTAAAAAAACTTCCTAGGTCATGCTGAAGGTACTAGTCAAGATAGGCAAGTCGATTGAGGTAACTTGAACACGTACTGCCCATGCCGAGCCACTAACTACCTCAACGTGTAATCTTAGATGAAGTTTGGGGTCTCCATGACGATAGGAATGAGTGATTGGGCACTCTTAATGATATGGCTGAAAGTTTGTCTCAGTGAAGAGTGGATGTATTCGCTCTCTGACACCTTCTAAAGCTTGACTATTTGTAATAAGCGTTATCTTCAAGTTGTTTATTCTCTCACAGAACCTTGTCTACTTTGACATCAGTCTTTTTCTATCCGCCTGTTCTTTGTGTAAAGTTTGGCAATTTATGGTGATGCATTTTATATACAAGGTTTTATGCCGGCTTTATCTGTCCATGTGTTTCTTCCATATGTTCATCCGTGAACTTAATTGCATGGTTACACTTTAAAAGGTGCTTATATAAGACAAAGGATCCCTCAGTCATCTTCTGCCTTTTCCAATAAACCTTGTATTCGCATTTATTTCAGTTTATATTTGATTGCGAAACAGTAGTCAACACTTCTTAATGTTAACATTGGTCAGTAATTTGTGTTTCGCTCAGTGGAATTAAAACAGACAATGAATTTTATTTTCTTGTTGAAATAATAAAATTGTCACCCTATTACCAGCTTTCCTAATTGGTCAGTATGATTAATATTTTGTAAAGGGTTGAGTAGGCTACTGCTTACATACTCGAACGATAGGCGCTATTTTGAAATGGCGGTTTGACTTGCCTATCCCAATGACTCATTGAGCTATGTTAGCTGGGAAACTTCTTTGTTGTAGTGTGTTGGATAGCGATAGAAGTAAAAGAGATGCCCACCACAGAGTAGTTCATTTACTCGGTGGTGTTGATGGTGGGGAAGGGGGGTCCGACGGTGGAATAGTACTTCCGTTTGTACAGAGTGTGAAACTAATTAAGTGTTTGTCAGGTATGCTGACCAGCAGTACAGTATGGATGCTACCTCACCTTATCAAAAGGAGGGGTTACAAAAGGTTTGACCTAAAATAGCTCACTCCTTGAGTTTTTTTGCCGGCAGCATACAGTTTTGTAGTCTTGATGCAACATCATTAAATACAGATCTCAAACTTCTAAAAAAGCCTTGTGTGACCTGGTCTTAAGCTGATGTGGCTTGGGCTGTTCGGTAACGCATCACTATTATCAATCGTATTTCTTTTTAAGGTACCTTAAGAAAAAGTATTTCCCGGTTGGTGGCTGGTACCAACCACTTACACACCGAGTGGTATCTTCAAAACTCAACTCACCGTAGGTACTCTTGATATACATCCTAGTTGGATTCATGAAGTTTCTATGTGCTGTGTTGTTCTTTAGCCCTCTGCATTGGTGGAAAAGATTTCTAGCTCAGGATGAAGATGATGATTTTTTGGTGCTCTCTGAGCTTTTCTGTGGATATTTCATCACCAGGCTTGGTGACATCCTCAACGTTAACCTCATAAGGAAGTAACCTCAGGAATTCACTTGGTCACACTGGTAGCAGGTCTGTGTTCGAGGTAGATTATGCTATTTACTATTACTACACTATCCTTCATTATTGATTTGTCTGGTCATTTTACACTTGGTTGATGAATGGAGGTTTTTGTAGGTCGGACCTTGTGCTTTTGTTGATTGGTTTTTCATTGGGATCCTATGCTCCATGAAATCCTCTTACAACTTTTGAAACCTGCTCTTTGAAGGATTTCCTTATTGTTTCTTCCTTATGAAGTTACTGATAAGGATGTTGTCACTAAATGATAATCGCAACCTTTTGCATACATTCATGTAGTTGGTGACCATAAGAAGATATTAGAGCTGGAAGAACACCAAACCATCATCACTGTTGGTTGTATTGTGCTCTCTCAGCTGGGCTGTTTAATCATGAAGCTTTCATTGTCTCCCTCCTGGACGACATCATCAGCACTAACTTCACTATGAAGCAGTGACCTGTCACAATATCTCTCCGTGAGTGGTTTAGTGGCTTGCCTTGACTAAGCCGTCTGTGATTACTTGTTTCCTTTGATTATTGTGTCATTGACTGTATAGACTTTCCTGTTGGCTGTTCCTCTCCTTCATCTCTCACCTTTTTGTCCTTCATCATTTTTCTCATTGATTGATAGATTGGGTCTATGTCTATACATCTATTGACTGCTTCTTGGAACTCTCTGATGATATTCTTTGTGTTTCCTGTCTGTATCGCAGATTTTTACATTGTCGAAATTGATTTCATGTCCATAGTTGTTATCCGTGTGGATTGAGCGACGAGTGATGAAATGTGGTGTGTGATGTTTAATAGCCAATTGGTGTTCATGTAGACGAAGGCGAAGAGGGCGAATATATATATATATATATATATATATATATATATATATATATATATATATATATTTATATATATATTATAATATTGTATTTTTTGTTTACCTTTACAGCTATATATAAGATTATCAGCTCAAATCCACCAGTGAGTAATGTGGCTATGAAAATATCTCCATATCAGAATCAACCGATTGTTTCACCGGATACTGAAAACTCTGGTGGAAGTAGACGATGTTGTAGTAGTTAAGATCAGGATTACCTTCCTCTCTTTATTTTATCAACTGGTGTCAATACTACTAATGATGATAATAAACTGAATGTTTGATGATGATTGTGACAGTCTTGTTTTGTCATATTCGATGATCACTACTACTACTACTACTCAATTCTGTGGTATGGTGTGTGAGTGTATGGATCATTTTCTTTACATCCTTTCTAATTTGTGTTATATCTTCATTGACTGTGTGTTATTCACACATTTGTGCACTAATAAACAAGGTATAACTGTTCTCTTTCTTCTACCTCTGTTTTACTTTGTTCCATTTCTTATTGTTGCTTGTTTATTGCCTTCTCAAACATTGGATTATATATATATATATATATATATATATATATATATATATATATATATATATATATATATGTCATGCAAACGATAGTCCTTGTTCACTTCTGTTCCACTTTTTGAAGACTATTGACATTAATTTGTTGCACAAAGAGTAAGACAACAACACGAATAATATACTCATCCAATAGGGCTGTGATGCAAATTTCTCGATGGATATAGTATCGTTACCTTCTTCTTCTTCTTCTTCTATGTGTATCTATTTTTTAAGTGGTATGTTTGTTTACTTTTTGCTCTGTTCACTTGTTCATCTATTACACTGTAACCGAGTTAAAATCAGTACACACATTCACAGGTTCCTTGCTGTTTGACAACTTTTAATGATGTCCTAGTGAATATGTAATAATATCAGCAATAAAATAATGTTTTTCGCACTTATTGTATGATTCTTTCTTTGTTTTTGTGCATGTGTGTGATGTGGGGGTGATGTTGTGGATGGGCGGTGGATAGGGAATGAGCCACATACATACCTGTTGTATAAGGTCTGATGGTGGTACTACTGGTAGCTTACTGTCCACACCACAGTCGGTGGAGGTGTTGTGACCGAGTGATGGGGTTGCCCGCGTGGGTATAATGAAACTGAGACTCAATGGACACTCCAACCGAATACCTTTACGACTGACTTCCCTCAGTACCTTCTGCTTCACTGAGCCGCGGAGAAATCAGAAGACAAAGATGGCCTGTGACTGCAGGAACAGTGACAACTTTTATTAAGCAAATACATGACATATATGTATTTAAAAAACTCTCAGAAAGTGAAGCCATAAATGAACCAATCAGATTCCTTGTGCGAGGTCTAATTTCTCCAATCAGGTTCTCACGTCAGCACATTCATAAACCATGATCTGGTCATGACTTGAAAACAACTCCCCTATTGGCTGCCTTTTGTCGCTACGTAACAGTAGGGCGAAGTTTGAACCCGTGATCCAGTGGTTAATATTCAACTGGGTTGGTGAATTATGATTTCAGTAATGCAGATTGTGCCTATCAACGTGAAGTTTTAATGACTCTGATGATAGTTTTGGAAGTTGGAATAGAATTGAAAAGGGTTCAAGGTGGCCAGACCAAGAATTGACACCAGTCCATGGAGCTTCTATCTGTTGCTTGCAGACGTGTTAGGCGATGTAGACTACTTGAATCGTTGCGGTCCCCAACATGATAGCAATCAGTGATTGCAGACTCATAATGAAACGCCGCTGACAAGAAAGACACTCTATATGAATCTAAACATCAAAGGTAATTCTGCCGCTTATCCTCTAAAAAGGAATATATAAAACAGGCTAAGGAGAACAATATTTGCATCAACGCTTAGCCTAGTATTTTGTTGTTGTTCAACGATATCTAACAACTCAAAGGAGAAACTATAACATCTGACCACTTCTATGTGTATACATCAATTCACCTGGTCTTATGGAGCTATATTTACAGGATAGGTCGTTCGATGTGACTTATCCAAAAGGGTTCAAGAACCCTATCAATAGAGCGATAAGGACTGCTATAATTGAACACATCATGAACACGAATCAATCTATCTCAAGAAACTCCTCGTTCAAAGTCATCTATAAAGTAAAAAAAAACCTTCCAAAGGCTGTATGTCTTCGTATTCTCTGTATCGTCGAGGCTCTTGTCATCTATATGGAGAAACGTGAACTGTGTACACAAGAGAAGATTTTTCAACCTCTTCTCCATTCATGACAGCTCACATGATTGACACTATTTATGTTGCCTGCCATGCTTGATAAGCTGTTTTTCATTGTCGAAAAAAAGGTATAAATTTGTGATTGTGTACAGCTTTGAAAACGAAATCTCCGAAAAGACACTCTTCGCTGAAATACAACTTGTTCTTCTTTTATATCCTGTTGAGTATATTTCACACAAATGGTCAAGAATCGGTTACAGTGGCGCAGATGCATACAATCGGTGACATCTTCTAAATCCTGAATATCTTCAAACTGTTTATTCTCTCATGCAACACTTTGCCGACTTTGATATCAGTCTTGTTCTATCTATTCGTTCTACTATTGTGAAGTGTAACAACTTGCGGTGATCTACTTGTAATGGGAGGTTCTACGTTAATTTTATCGATCTGTCTAACGGTTAACTGGATACAAACGAATCACACTAGAAATTCTAGTGTTCTATCAATCTTGGATTCATTCTTGTAGGTAAATTTTGTGTACATTCTAATGAGAAGTTGTTAATCTTGCTGAAGCCAGTTTTTCTAATCTCAGAGATTTGAGAAGGATTGTTTCTACCACAAGTTGCTTGAATTTCAAAGTTGTCAGTTACTTCAGATTGTTATGCTAAGTGATTTGAAGTTTGATATGCTTACCATGAGTCCATTAGTTTTTTCATATGAGTCGGTGACAATAGCTAACCTGAATTATTAGTAAAATTTATTTGATCCCCACCGAAAGCTGCTACCTTGATGCATCTGGTCGAGCTTGCATACCAGAATGACTCAACGAGGTATGCTGGTGGAATACTTGTTCTCGCGACGGCGTACCATGACAAATAGCCTTCCATAGTGTGGGCAATCGGGAAGTATCAACCGCTAACACGCTTACAGTATTACACAACAACTATCCTCCTCAACTCTGATATAAATCTGCAATCGATAGTACGAAGGTCGGACAGTGTTTTTTAAAAGTCTGAATTATTGGGAATAAATAATTTCTCGTTTTTAGATATCTTTTATCGCTAGATATTCAACTTCCCCAGTGACTCTGAAGGCCACCCTAACAACTGCTGGAATAACCAATCACGTCTCTACATTCTTTGCAAAACTGTCTTCCCAACCAAGGCATCGCAATCTGATTGGTTATTTTCCCAGTTGCTAGTGTAGCCTTCAAGGTCATCCCAACTGCCCTTTATCTCTTCATATCCTAGGTCTTGTCTACCAGCGTATAGTGAGCTAATATAATTAACAAACAACCTTGGTCTAGCCATTCATCAGTTACACTTATTTCTCCATAATTCAGCTAGGTTGCCCAAGTGCTTACAAGACTTGTAGATTTTCTCTTCCTATTGGTAAATAGTTTAATCCATGTAGACAAACGTGTATGGGTTGTGCTCTCCCAACTTTGATTGACAGACAAACAGATTGTAACTAGCAGGAGATCAAAGTGTGTGTGTGTGGCGAGGGTGGGGGATACGGTAGCGTTTTCAATTCAAAGAATGAATTTTAGTAGGATAGTAGCATAAAACATGATATTTAATGGAACCAGAAAGAAAAACTGGCACCGACTTTTAATAGTTCATATGAGTCGTCTAGGAAAATGTAAGCTATTTGGTTGGAGGTCTAACCCACACGCCAACTGAAATTGATGGTTTCAAACGCTGTCTAACATTTTAATGGTGGCTGGCAGTGGAATCGAGGACGTGCGTTTCGTCCCATTTGGGACTCGTTAATTGGGTGAACCTACCTCCCATTGGGACTCGAACTAGGGACCGATTGCTTCAAACGCCATGGCACTATCCACTTCTTGTGCAATGAGTATAGTTCTAATGTTTTTACTTGTATTACCCCGTCGTTGATTGGACCAAATTGATCGGTCTCTATTCGCATATGGGCTAGTGTGTGAATGACTTAGTGTTGCCAGCCGGCAAGTCTCAAATAGGATGATATACGCATCCTGGATTCCACTACAAGCCACTATCCATCATTAATATGTGACTGAAACTACAAGCAATGTCAAGGCATTCGCATAGGAGCTCATATGCCAATAGAGACCGGCCAATTCAGTCCAATCACTGATGGTATAATACAAGCAACAAAATCTGTCTAAAATTGACTAGAAATAGTTTCAGTGGTGCAAATGCATTGATACCCTATTTTCGTCTAAATCCATCCTTGTGTCACACTTTGTTTGATTAGTTTTTTCCGAGATTATTTGCTTGATGTTGACTAGCAGTGGAACACAGGATATGCGCTTCGTCTTATATTTTTGCACTCATCAGTAGCATATACCTTCATCCCACCGAGGTTCGTACTCCAGGTCGATCGCTTCAAACTTATGGATCCTTTTTATCAAGGTAATATGTTTTTCATTATCTTTTAAAATTAATGTCAAGTTTTCTTGTCGGTGTACATTTTCCTTATGGCGTATCCGTTCTTGATACTTTTATTTTGCTAAAATTTTGCCGTAACATTACGACTGTTTGTTTCCTATTCCAAATACTGTAAGTGTTAGACTGAAAGTTAAGGAAACATGAGAATGCAGGTTAACCTTCTGTCTTGTTGACTGTATTATCGTTTGCAATCATACCCTAGAATGGCGTAACTCCCTTCATTCAGCCCATTGGAAAAGATTTCTAGTGGCACGGTTATTATTATTTGTCCCTTGGGTTCCTAGTGGAACATAGGGCTTCAGTAGCACATCTACATTCCACTCTCTTCTCTGCAAACTTTTGAACCTGGTTCCACGACTGCCCACAAGCTCTCATTTCTTCCTCACACCATCTCCTCCATGTCACCCTCAGCTGGGTCGCCCAACTCATCGTTTCCCATCTAGGTTCCACTCGAGTGCCTGGCCTGGCGAGTGATGTCCCCGAATGGTCTTCTCAATGTATACCCAATCCATCTTCACTTCCTTCCAGTGCATATTTGTTGAGTGATAGGTTCTGCTTGATTGGTCTGTTTCTAGAGTGAGTTCCTTGTTGCTTATTCCTATTATTCTGGCCATTTCATCTGAGCTTCAGTAACGAGCCAGCGTAGTTGGCAGTTGTTGATGAATATCTGTAGTTTGTTGGAAATCCCTTTCGTAATGCGTCAAGTCTCTGAACCAACACATAGTAGCACTGACTCACTTGACTGACATTGGTGTTGAAAATCCGGATGTTGTTCACGCACGCTTTATGCTGAGTGCAGTGCAGAAGATCTCCACACTGGTTTCAGGTTAATGAAGGAAGGCCTGTCTTGCTGTCATTCCGATCCTGGCTGACTTTG